GACCAATCTTTCCACAGGCGTTATCGAAATCTGTCAGCATTCGTTCCGCTTGGCTGATGTTTGATGTTATGAGAACGATATCGTCAGCAAAGCGAAGATGGTTTCATTGTCGACCGTCAATTTTCACTCCCACATCATCCCATTCTAATGTTCGCATGACGTTTTGTAGGATGGCAGTGAATAGTTTTGGCGAAATTGTGTCGCCTTGTCGAAACCCTCTTCTTACGTCAATGGTGATATTGTTGTAGAATTTAGATATTTTGGTCATCAAATTTTATAAAGCTCACGAAGGATCATTATGTACCGAGTAGGGACGCCCTGATTATCCAGAACCTTTACAACCGCTTCTGTTTCCACTGAATCAAAGGCTTTTTTCAGATCAATGAAAGTGAGACAGGTGGTTGCTTGTACTCTCGTGGAACTTCAATGAGTCTTGTAATCGTGTGAATATGGTTCATGGTACTAAACTCTTTTCGGAACCCTGCTTGTTCGCATGGACTGTCCTTCGTCCAGTGTTCTCTCAATCCTGCTTAGGATGACTCGAGTAAGGAGTTTATAGACAGCGGACAGCAAGCAGAATGGGCGATAATTGCCTGTGTCGTGAAGGTTCCCCTTTCTGAACAACAATACGATCTTGCTGGTTGTCCACTGATTAGGGACCATGCATTCTGACAGGTAGCGAGTGAAGAGCCAGAGCCAGGGTGTTGATGAGAACTGGCGGCAGGTTCTTCAGGTGTTCTGGTCTGATCCTGTCTAGACCGGGCGTTGTTCTGTTCTTCACCGACGATATGGCATGTCGGATTTCGGAAGGGAGGACCGGTGGAACGACATATTCGTCCTCTTTCAATTTCTATGACGGTAAGAGGACATGGCTAGCGAAGAGATCCGAATAGTAATGGTGGATGATTTTCTCCATAGCCCTTCTCGAAGCTGTAAGTGTCCCGTCAGGAGTATCGGAGTGCAATCATTTGGATCTTATAGTTGACGAATCCTCGCTGGGCTTTGCGAATGCTCTTCCCAGCTTCTGCAGCTTCTGCCATAAACTGCTGCTCTTCTCTCTTCGAGGTCGTCTTTTATCGCTTCTCTGCAGCGTCTGGCAACGTTCGGACGTGAGGTTTCGGCTGCCTGTAGCTCGTGCGATTCCCTGTAGACATATCAGCTCGAGTATCCTGCGGAGACAAGCGTCTCTTCGTGACCTTAGGACTCTCGGCTTTCATAGCGCTAACGCGAAGATATTCAACGAGTCGGTCGTGTTCTTCGTCGATGTTGTCGACAACGGTATCTTCTCAAGAGCCGAATAGTGATTTGAATACATCCCAGTTTATGGTAGTTTTGGGACTTCGTTGTTTGAATTTAGCGGCTTTCTCTCCTCTCCTCGAAAATCGGAACGTTGCGCGAAGGGGGCGATGGTCTGATCCCGTGTAGAACTTAGGAACAACAGCGACGTCGGTCAGGCAAAACCTTCGATTTACTATGATGTGATCTATTTCGTTATGGCACTCTCCATTGGGAGACTTCCACGTCCATCGCTGAGAAAGAGGCTTTTGGAAGTGCGTGTTGCCATGGATGGTTTGGGTCGTCATGATAAACTCAGATAGCCTCTCACCCTGTTCATTTCATTCTAGTCCGTGAGTCCCTATGTGACGTTCTTCACACATTCTTCTAGGTCCAATTTTTGCGTTAAAATCTGCGACAATGACCTCGAAGAATGTATGATCTTCTCTGAAAACTTTTTGAGGTCCATATAGAACGCTTCAACTTCGTCTTCGTCATAGCTTGATGTTGGTGCTCAACCAACGAAGATTGTCAGAGCCGGTATAGAACCCACGTCATATCAACCGTAATCATCGGATACGGGTTGTTAATTGTTCAAAACGAATCAATGTTCACGGTCAAATTCGATATGACGAGGACGCCAGCGCCACCGACGCCTCTGCGATCTCATGTTCCAAGGAACAGTTCTTCTCCGGTGTCAGAAAGAGCGTGAAAAGAATGGCGCCTTCTCGTCTCAGCCAGGCCAATGACGTCGTACCTTATTCTCCTTGCTTGAACCAATAGATCTTCTACAGCGGATTCGTGAGCAAGGATTCTTGCATTGTAGGTACAGATCGTCATTTTGGTCGGTTTCGATCTTGGCAGAATAGTTGGCCCCAAGAATTTAGCAGCATCTCCGTACTCGTCCTACCTGGCGCTGCCCTACCAGGGGCTCTTTCAGGGTCAGGGGAATGAGGCCCATATTTGTTACTGTTTTTGGCATTTTGATACCCAACTTATAGCTTGCCAGGCTCTAAACGTGGGGGCTGGGTACTCACGAGTAGCTTGCTAGTCTCTCTCGGAGGAACGGGAGCAGCTTATTTGTTGGAGGCGACTCCTAAGCGCCTCACATGTACTTCCCATCCGCTTGATTGCAGGCATTTGGCCGACTTGACTCGTAGAAGTAGAGTTTTTGTCAAGTCGGAGCTGCAGAAGCAGGGGTGCTGTCCCTGAATTCACCTGCGTCTCTGGGAAGCACACTGTCGCCTTTGGTTCGCGTTTATTCCCCTATCCACCACCTAGGGGCGCGCCACGTACCCTCGCGACTAACCGGGCAGGATACCTCAAAGAGGGAGATCCGTGGAAAAGGGGTGCGAATGTATCCTTATGAATTTGAGCGCTTGGAAAATCGTAAGTTTGCCTCTAACCGACTAAGCTATGGCGGCCGTTGCTCTAACACCTACAGAAAGGATAATGTTACTAACATAATGAAAGGGAGGGCGCCTAAATTCTTATGAATTTGAGCGCCTGGGAAAGCTTAAGTTTGTCCATTAAATCGGACACAAAACAATTTGCCGTCAGCAGTGGTCGAACCTGCGACCTTGGGCTTATTGGGCCCACCCTCCAACCGACTGAGCTTATGAGATTGCCTTAGCAGGCGCGCGCCACGGCCGATTTCGATAATTCTTGTGGAAAGATTGGTCT